ATTTTTTGGCCAAAATCCTTTAAGGCTATAGACTTACAATTTTTGTCATTTTTCGGCCAAAATGGATTTTGTTCAAAATTTGTATAGGTAATTCTGAACGCTGCTTGGCTGATCTGTTAACCAAAATTTGATATCTTGATTATAACTTGTTCAAATGGCTTTTAGAAAATGTTCAAATGATTTTTAGAATATTTTAATTATTTTTGCAATGCTAATTACTCGCCACTTATGGGTTTTCGAGGTCATTTCTTGGTGCTTGTGTATTATTCTGGATGTACTTAAATAGTTAGGCACATTAAATTTTAGTTCAGAGAGAAAATGTATTTTTGGCCAAAAATCCTTTAGGGCTATAGACTTACAATTTTTGTCATTTTCGGCCAAAAAATGGATTTTGTTCAAAATTTCAGTATAGGTACTCCTGAATGTGCTGCTTAAGGATCTGTTAACCAAAATTTGATATCTTGATTATAACTTGTTCAAATGGCTTTTAGAAATGTTCAAATGATTTTTAGAATATTTTAATTACTTTTGCAATGCTAATTACTCGCCACTTATGGGTTTTCGAGGTCATTTCTTGGTGCTTGTGTATTATTCTGGATGTACTTAAATAGTTAGGCACATTAAATTTTAGTTCAGAGAGAAAATGTATTTTTGGCCAAAAATCCTTTAAGGCTTTAGACTTATAATTTTTGTCATTTTCGGCCAAAAAATGGATTTTGTTCAAAATTTCAGTATAGGTACTCCTGAATGTGCTGCTTAAGGATCTGTTAACCAAAATTTGATATCTTGATTATAACTTGTTCAAATGGCTTTTAGAAAATGTTCAAATGATTTTTAGAATATTTTAATTACTTTTGCAATGCTAATTACTCGCCACTTATGGGTTTTCGAGGTCATTTCTTGGTGCTTGTGTATTATTCTGGATGTACTTAAATAGTTAGGCACATTAAATTTTAGTTCAGAGAGAAAAAGTATTTTTGGCCAAAAATCCTTTAAGGCTTTAGACTTACAATTTTTGTCATTTTCGGCCAAAAAATGGATTTTGTTCAAAATTTCAGTATAGGTACTCCTGAATGTGCTGCTTAAGGATCTGTTAACCAAAATTTGATAGCTTGATTATAACTTGTTCAAATGGCTTTTAGAAAATGTTCAAATGATTTTTAGAATATTTTAATTACTTTTGCAATGCTAATTACTCGCCACTTATGGGTTTTCGAGGTTATTTCTTGGTGCTTGTGTATTATTCTGGATGTACTTAAATAGTTAGGCACATTAAATTTTAGTTCAGAGAGAAAAAGTATTTTTGGCCAAAAATCCTTTAAGGCAATAGACTTACAATTTTTATCATTTTCGGCCAAAAATGGATTTTGTTCAAAATTTCAGTACAGGTACTCCTGAATGTGCTGCTTAAGGATCTGTTAACCAAAATTTGATATCTTGATTATAACTTGTTCAAATGGCTTTTAGAAAATGTTCAAATGATTTTTAGAATATTTTTAATTACTTTTGCAATGCTAATTACTCGCCACTTATGGGTTTTCGAGGTTATTTCTTGGTGCTTGTGTATTATTCTGGATGTACTTAAATAGTTAGGCACATTAAATTTTAGTTCAGAGAGAAAACGTATTTTTGGCCCAAAATCCTTTAAGGCTTTAGACTTACAATTTTTGTAATTTTCGGCCAAATGGATTTTGTTCAAAATTTCAGTATAGGTACTCCTGAATGTGCTGCTTAAGGATCTGTTAACCAAAATTTGATATCTTGATTATAACTTGTTCAAATGGCATTTAGAAAATGTTCAAATGATTTTTAGAATATTTTAATTACTTTTGCAATGCTAATTACTCGCCACTTATGGGTTTTCGAGGTCATTTCTTGGTGCTTGTGTATTATTCTGGATGTACTTAAATAGTTAGGCACATTAAATTTTAGTTCAGAGAGAAAACGTATTTTTGGCCAAAAATCCTTTAAGGCTATAGACTTTCAATTTTTGTCATTTTCGGCCAAAAAATGGATTTTGTTCAAAATTTCAGTATAGGTACTCCTGAATGTGCTGCTTAAGGATCTGTTAACCAAAATTTGATATCTTGATTATAACTTGTTCAAATGATTTTTAGAATATTTTAATTACTTTTGCAATGCTAATTACTCGCCACTTATGGGTTTTCGAGGTCATTTCTTGGTGCTTATGTATTATTCTGGATGTACTTAAATAGTTAGGCACATTAAATTTTAGTTCAGAGAGAAAAAGTATTTTTGGCCAAAAATCCTTTAAGGCTTTAGACTTACAATTTTTGTCAAAAATGGATTTTGTTAAAAATTTCAGTATAGGTACTCCTGAATGTGCTGCTTAAGGATCTGTTAACCAAAATTTGATATCTTGATTATAACTTGTTCAAATGGCGTTTAGAAAATGTTCAAATGATTTTTAGAATATTTTAATTACTTTTGCAATGCTAATTACTCGCCACTTATGGGTTTTCGAGGTCATTTCTTGGCGCTTGTGTATTATGCTGGATGTACTTAAATAGTTAGGCACATTAAATTTTAGTTCAGAGAGAAAACGTATTTTTGGCCAAAAATCCTTTAAGGCTTTAGACTTACAATTTTTTGTCATTTCGGCCAAAAAATGGATTTTGTTCAAAATTTCAGTATAGGTACTCCTGAATGTGCTGCTTAAGGATCTGTTAACCAAAATTTGATATCTTGATTATAACTTGTTCAAATGGCTTTTAGAAAATGTTCAAATGATTTTTAGAATATTTTAATTACTTTTGCAATGCTAATTACTCGCCACTTATGGGTTTTCGAGGTCATTTCTTGGTGCTTGTGTATTATTCTGGATGTACTTAAATAGTTAGGCACATTAAATTTTAGTTCAGAGAGAAAACGTATTTTTGGCCAAAAATCCTTTAAGGCTTTAGACTTACAATTTTTGTCATTTTCGGCCAAAAAATGGATTTTGTTCAAAATTTCAGTATAGGTACTCCTGAATGTGCTGCTTAAGGATCTGTTAACCAAAATTTGATATCTTGATTATAACTTGTTCAAATGGCTTTTAGAAAATGTTCAAATGATTTTTAGAATATTTTAATTACTTTTGCAATGCTAATTACTCGCCACTTATGGGTTTTCGAGGTCATTTCTTGGTGCTTGTGTATTATTCTGGATGTACTTAAATAGTTAGGCACATTAAATTTTAGTTCAGAGAGAAAACGTATTTTTGGCCAAAAATCCTTTAAGGCTATAGACTTACAATTTTTGTCATTTTCGGCCAAAAAATGGATTTTGTTCAAAATTTCAGTATAGGTACTCCTGAATGTGCTGCTTAAGGATCTGTTAACCAAAATTTGATATCTTGATTATAACTTGTTCAAATGGCTTTTAGAAAATGTTCAAATGATTTTTAGAATATTTTAATTACTTTTGCAATGCTAATTACTTGCCACTTATGGGTTTTCGAGGTCATTTCTTGGTGCTTGTGTATTATTCTGGATGTACTTAAATAGTTAGGCACATTAAATTTTAGTTCAGAGACAAAAAGTATTTTTGGCCAAAAATCCTTTAAGGCTTTAGACTTACAATTTTTGTCATTTTCGGCCAAAAAATGGATTTTGTTCAAAATCTCAGTATAGGTTGTACTGGTCACGACACTCACGAATCAGATTTCCTGGAAATCGGACTGGGTACTCCTGGAATGACCCTGTTTTTTGACGAAAAACACGGAGCTCCCACACACACACGTCCCACCGCCTACACTAATTCATTGAAGTGCCATTAAAAACTGGACTGTATATTTAATGATAAAGTTTTAATAACCAAGTCCAGTGGATGAGACAACTCGTATTAGTTCATCATCAAGTTTGTGTGTTAGCCCATAGGTTTCCAGGAGCTCTCCTTGTTTATGATTGGGTAAAACTAGAAGATCATAGATAGGATCTCTACCAACTTAGCTGCAGCTCCATTAAAAACTAAATAGCCAGGAAGAGTTGAGTTTCTAAAAGCTGAGTCAGACCACCAGGAGTACAGTACAGTATATGCCATAAAACAGGCTTCAGGTACATTACTGATCTGAAAAACATTATGACATATATTAGCAAGGGTTTCTTGTACTCATTTATTATTGTTTGTTTATTTTTTTGTGAAGTAAAGAGTACCAGTATGAGTTTGTTAATAAAGGAAAGCTTTACTAGTGGTCATGGTAGCAAAGGCAAGTGTTATTTTGGTGATTACCCAGGTACTGTAGGTGGCAGACGGCAGCTTTGTTTACTGTACAGTACTGTAGATTGTATTTACTGTAATAGTATTTGGGACTTTAAATAATTGGTTGACTAGGCTTACAGACTGAACTACATGATTTTGGCCTGTCTTTGTGAGGGAAAGGAAGTCATTGTTAGCACTCGCTGTAAAAAGTACCATTACGGAGGGGTTCAATGAATTTCAAAATTAATACCGAGACTCCTGTTGTCTAGGTAGGGTTGTCAAAATCCTTTGGCCATTGTGTCATATTGTCTCACACAACATCATAAAGACTCTTTTGGGGCGAATTTTCAGAGAGTCTCATTGGTCGTACACATAGGAAAATTAATGTTCCCTTTTTCAGGTGAGAGAATCATGACAAATCAAAGAAGATTGTTGATAAATTAACACCAAATGAAAGAGTTAACTTTAATATTCGCATCCAGGAAGCCGGATCCCACACACACACACACTGATCAGATGCAGAAGAATTTAATCGACAATAACTATATGTCTGGATTTTGTCTATTAGATTCTATTACAACTGATCGGTGTTTAGTGTCTAGCTTTCTGGACACGAGAACTAAACTGACTCTCAATAGTGTTTATTATCTCTGCCATCTTCGTTGATTTGTTATGATTCAATTAAAAAAAAACATCAATTGTCTTATGATGCACAATCTCTGAGACTCCCTATACGTATATTCATCATCTTAGTTTTCCTGGGTGATATATTATACTTTTTAAGATGTAATTTCAGGTCAAAATGCTTCGTCCCAAAGAGTCCATGGAAAGTTGGTTCAATATCATGGTCCTTCACCAAAACCACGCTAAACACGGCCCAACCAACTACATACCAGAGAGTTTCCTCGACCCCTTCCTGGACTTGGTCATCTGGGGTCACGAACACGAGTGTCTCATAGAGCCCAGGTTGTCTGCCGAGGACTCCTTTCATGTTATTCAGCCAGGTACTGTATTGGCTTTTATTTATTTATTTTTTATTAACCTCACTTGTTTTATATTTTGTTTTTTCCTTGCCTTTTTTTTTTTTTTTTTTTATCTTGCCTGTCATTTCTCCTTCCTTTGTTTAATCCTTAGCATATAGATCCATTTCTCCATCTTTCATTGTTGAGTCTAGTTGATGTCACAAGTTTATCCTTGGGTTTTCACAGAGTTAGCCTTGTTGTGTCCATCATAATGGTGATTGTGTGTGTTTATTTCTAATGTATTGAAACCTGTGTTATATTAAATTTACATAATGATGTCTTTATTGTGGAGGCGATGAAGCCATAGTTTGGTTAGGTTAGGTTTATTTGGGAAGTGACAAAGTGTCCTTGAACCCTTTTGTGTGTCGTATTTCATTTTCTGTTCCTTCATATTTTGTCGGTGGGTCCATTTAGTACTCCTGATGCTTTACCTTACCATTCTCAAGCTCACAGCCTGTCTCATCCCATCCCTAACTGCTTGTGCCTTTGTCGCTACCTTCCTTCTTGACCTAAACAGAATAATTACTTGTATGTCTTTATCTTATCAGTTATATATCTGGGTTCAAAATATTCTTACCTTTTCTCTCATACGTTCTCTTTTTACTGCATTATATCCCTTCCCTCTCCCTCCCTCCATCAATCTTACCTTCCATTTCCAATGTTTTCTTACCATATTTCATTCCCTCCAAAACAACTACCATTTCTCTTTGAAGCTTTAGTTAACTCTTTTTTTTTTTTTTTTTTTACACGGGGATTAGCCCACCCGGGCACAGGTCACTGACCCACATCAGAGCCGGGGGGCGAAAATATAATAATAATAATAATTCATAGTAAATAAAATTTATAATAAAAAGTAAAATAAAATATTAATGGTAATAATAATAATAACAACACTGATAATAATAAATACAAAGAAATACAAGAATGAAAAAAAATCAACAGTGAGAAATGCTACATATATGTTGTTTTGTCATGTAAGAGAAACAATTGAGACCCTACAATTGTGTGTAATTGAGGCCGAAAGACAGATCAGCAACCTGGGACTTGGTCACAATTTTCGTGATGCCATATGGCAGCAGGGTCTACCATTAGACAACACATTATGCTGCCAATATCTTCCCAGGCGGTAGTACCTCCCTGTTTAGTAGCTGCCTACTACGTACTGTATATAATGGATTAACCTCTTACATTACTGGAGTCCGTTAGAAGGAAGTCTCATATTTCACTGTAGGTGTAATAGATTTTTCAGATGTCAATATTCACAGTTCAAGGTGTATATAAAAGAGTGTACTGTATACTGTAATGTCATGGGTTTGACCAAAGCTACTTGTGTGTCTAAGCTTGTAATGAATGGCATCTATATAGTGATCATGTGGGAAAGTGTACTAATTGGACGATTGTGACATTATGAAGGATTGTGATTATGGGGGATTGTGAATGTGGAGGAGTGTGATTTTGAAGGATTGTGACTGAAGGATTGTAATTGTGAAGGAGTGTGATTGTAGAGGATTGTAACTGGAGGAGTGTGATTGTCCCAGTATCATATGCCTAACCCAACCCAACCCAACCCAACCCAATAAGAGACTTTCAACATGATGGATAAACTTTCCCTCTCAACTATATCATGTTACAGGCAGCTCTGTAGCCACGTCGCTGTGTGCAGGAGAGGCCGTGACCAAGAACGTGGCCCTACTAGAGGTGAATAATCAGCAGCAGTTCAAGACAACGGCTCTACCGCTAAAGACTATCAGACCTTTTTTATTTGATGTGAGTGCTGTACAGTATTTGATGTCTGTAAAAATCAATGAAGGGTCTTTTATGTCAGGGCTTTTGTATTTGATGTGAGTAAAGATAAAATGAGGTATTTTATAATTGACGAGTTGACGGTCGGAATTTTTTCGTAAGATGGCAGGTTAATTGGGTAAAGAAAATGCTTAAATTCACAATGGTAATGATATTTTTAAATAAATAAGGCCAAAAAGTGTAAAAAAAATAAGGGTTAAAGTTCCTTAAAAGTCACGTGACTGTGATTGGTTGTGACTACTAGTTCCCTCGAGTTGCAGAGAGGGAGCCAGTTGTGGTGTATATCCATTATTATATGTTGTTTACCAGCAAAATTACAGGACTTGTGGCCATATACAATGTTGATATAAACAGGTATAGCCGTATTTTTAGGTTAAATTAAATTATTGCTCAAGTATCATCGTGTGTATTTACTTGCTGGGTGCCAAAATGATACACATGACCGATAACTCCAACATAGAAGTTTGCATCACTATTCTCTCTTTCATGTCTGGAAACTGTAAGTTTTCGTCATTGATGTCATATTTAATGTTGTGGAAGGACTAGGGATGACCATGGCCAGGGGATGGGCTTGAGATGATCAGATGACAGATGTAATTTAACGTGCTTCATAGCTGGATGGCGGAGTTCTTGATAATACTCTACAATCATAAAGACATCTACTTTTGGTAAATTTCTTTCATCTGCCTTGATGAACCCTGGAAGTAGTTGTCCAACCTTCTCGCTGATCGGCTCTAAATGAATATTATTAGATAATTAATTGTGCTTTACTGTGCAACACCGTAATACTATATTGAATATATAAATATTACTAAGCACATTAACTAATTCAATGGATATTAGCTGCCCCCACTACAAATTTCATAGTACTGTATAAACATTCCAAACAATGTTGGTATTATTTTGGTTTTGGTCATCTGGGGAACCCTAAGATTCTAACTGTGGGATTAAATACTTTAAACAATAAGACAAATTATCTCTACTGGATTTCACTCGCAAAACATTTTTCTATTGCATAAGAAAATACAGGTCATAGGTTAGGTTAGGTACAAGTTATATTATAAGTTATAAGGTTAGCTTAACATACACTGGTAAGGGGGGGGGTAGTAACTCAAAACTAGTGAAATCCGATACAGGTGAAGGTCTAAATCGTTCATAACACATCGCAAACCGTCAGAAAAAAAACACAAGTCTGCATGTCTAAGTACAGGGATGACCAAAGCTTTAAATTTACCCAATACGTATAGCCCATCTCAAATAAACATACAAATAGTTATGGTAGTTAAAGTAAAATTTTACCCATCAATTCATATAAATGATGATATATCTTAGGTGTTCATTAGTGAATCATCAAAACAATAACAGTACTATGTTGTCATGTTTAACTATCATCAGGAATTCTCAAAAACAAAGTCCAGACAATGTCATTAGTACTTCTTAATGGATTCGTATCTCCATCCGTACGTCGTCTGCAGGGTAAGTGGTGACATTGCAAATGGCGGCCCTGTTTCTAGAGAAATAAACTTATCTCGACTATTATAGCAGGACTTTAAACTTTTATTACAAATTATATATACCGTATCACTCTCCGAACGTGGCAGAGTGTATTTCTTGTGTTTACCCAGAACCGTCAACTCGTCCATTACCTGCATTTTTGTATTTGGTATACAGGTAATTAAAACAAAGGGCATTATTATTCTTTTATGATATTTAATTAGTGAATAGATGATAGAGTAAGGAAGTTAAAACCATAGATTAGAATGGGTTGAAGGTAAGATGGTATGGGATGGATATATTTATCTACTGTATAGCAAAAGATGTAAAACTCTTCAAGTGGGGTGCAGTGACTCTAAACAACACTACTCTGCAGATAGTACTTCCTTGGAATTTATAGAAGAAAAGAACTTGGTCATTGTGATAGAGTAGACATTGAAAGCATTGCAGGAGGTGGGTGAAACACTGAAGAGAACTACCATGTTTGTTCCCACCTTAACTATTGTATACAAGTATGGAGAATTAAATGTTTAGTTTTCCAAAATTTTACTTATATATATATTTTCTAAGGCTATAATAAGAGAATACAGTGGTGGTTAGCTCAGCTCAGGTTAGGTTTAATAGCATAGATCTGTATGTCAATGGAATTTACTTACTGTATGTCTCTCAAAGGTCACTTCCCTTAACCCATTATTTACTATTGGACACAGCCCTTATCAACCATTTGAGAATCCTAGAATGTAATCCCTGTGGTTGGTGTGAGTTACTGTATATTTAAATAGTAAATCTTTTCTTTCATATACAGTACTGTCCTATACAACAATTGAACATTAACAGAATGTGTGTCTGGCTGACTATGACATAGGTATGGTGATTGACAGCAATAAGTCAAATCCTGTGGAAGACTTTGTTGAAGAATATGTCCACAAGATGCTAGTTAAAGTCAAGGGACTTATTACAGGTAAACACTCACTTTTTAGCTTATAGTTTGGTTGGTTTTGGTCTATATTCTTATGTTAATGATTCCTTAGAGATAGTGTACAGTAGTCCACTTAGTTAGCCAAAGGTTCTCGGACACCTGAATTATTGTTGCTACTACCGGGTGCAGTCACTTTCCTTACTCTCATGGTCTGCATTTTCATGGGTGTAACTTGCATGATGCTTAAGGAGGAGGGGGCCAGGTCAGCCTAACCTAACCCAATGAAAACCTAATCTTTATCTGATGGTCCACCAGTTATATCAAGAAATATAAGCTTTGACCTGACCTAACCTAATAGCCTCCCCTTAAGCAGTCTTTTATTCTTTTCCATTATATCCCAGTTTCTTGATGTTTGAGTTCTTACTAACTGTTTGTAGAGTCTCTCCTCCTATTATGGGTAATGTTTTTAATGTAACAAAATCCAATGTTGTTACACATGACAGCCAGGGCAATGGGATAATAGTGTACAGTACTTGTATCACCTTGTGTAGGATATAAGATCTATGTTTAAAGTGCAGAATAAAAGCTGTATTATTTGGCACAGAACTACCCATCACACTTTAGCAGCAGACATATTTGTGATGAACTGCCAAAACAAATGTCGATTCTATTTATTTATGCGCAGTTCTGTACATTTGTAGTTCTGAGTATAATATTTTTAAATAATGATGTGCACCAAGTGACTATCCAGATTATGTCAAATACACTTAAGTAGCTGTAAAGTTATGGTGTTTAAAACCTTGGCTTTTATTACTTGACTGGTGTAAAAGGTCTGGGAATTAGGGATAGAAATCCCTTACCAGACTAATCAGGTTCTTAATAAAGGAAAATCAAGGACCATGGTTTTCCGAGGAATAGCAAACAACCGTTTGAGATTGACATCTCATTACTATAAAAAATATAACTCAAAACTCTGACACCACTCAACAAACATCAAATAATTACGGGAGTCAAACAATTAATGAAGTTAAACAATTAAAGGAATCAAACAATTAATGGGAGTCAGCAATTAATGGAATCAAACAATTAATGGGAGTCAACAATTGATAGAATCGAACAATAAAGGGGAGTCAGCAATTAATGGGATCAAACAACCATAGAATCAAACAATGAACAGATATTTCCTACAGCAGTGGCCCTGGGGGAAGGTTCTGAAACATGGTGATCCACACTCAGGGTAGGGAAGCGTCCATTCAACTTCACACTCGAACGACAGCGGCTGAGGACTTGATACAGCAGACCCGATGTCTTGATACAGCAGACGGAATGAGATGAACTGACGGCCGTGGTATGTGGTAGTGGTAGATTGACAGTCGATAGGTGAAGGTCTGGGGACACAACCCACGGGTCCAGGACCTATGATGAGATCACAGCCAGAATTTGACGAACAGCGGGGTAGCTAGATAGTGACTGTATGGCAATTGGGGTCAATCTGCCGGTGACACAGGTAGCAGCTGCCGTTCTCACCTCTGTCCAACTACTCAAGTGTTAGTCGCACCAGCAAACAAGCGAGTAAGCAGCGGTAATGAGCAGGAAGATAGTTTCCGCTCTTACAATTGGTGAGTAGTGTTACTGTCTTGTGTTCCTTAGATGAGATTGACTGTTAACTGGCAGCCCCCCTCCCCGCCATGCTGAATAATGAAGCTTTTACTGCGAATTTATAAAGTGGAGGACATTTGGCCCAGGTGTGAGGCTGGCAAGGAAATCATCATTAACTTTTGATATATAAAGAAGGTCTGCCTCATTAACTTCACTGCTGGAACTGTTTTTTTGTCCCTTGCACTAGCAAAAGGCAACTGACTCCAATCATTCCATGCTAAATGCTTTCTGTGCAATGCTTGGCGTTTACTATTGCTCCTCTGCTACGGACAAGTAAACGTACAGTGCAGGTAGCAAAATAACATCTTCCTGTTGTTTCACGGGCAGACACTTTTTTGAGCCCAGCGTGTGTGGGTGCATGTTTGTATGTGTGTACTTTTGCATGTGCTTGTCTGTGCTTATATGCTAGTGTTATGAATATAGTAGAAATAATTAACATTTAACTGAAATGAAATATACAGCTGCCAAAAGCTGAAAATGTACAAAACAAAGAAATACTACGGGGAGTGGTTCATTGTACAGTAGTTCACTGGGGAAATGGCTCGTTGGGGAGTGGTTGTGTCAGAGGGAGGTGAAAGGGCCAGATTATTGAGTGGATTTTAATGGCACAATGATACACTGTTGTCTAGGATCTATTGTTTGTGACAGTAAACAATGGTATCATAGGGGGGAGTATCTCACTGGTGTCAAGGGAGTATTCCACTTTGGTGTCAGTGTCAGATTGATCAGTGCACCATTTTCTTGGTGATAGTTTGTTGATAGACAGTATCATAATGGACAGGACGGGTCGAGAGGAGGGAGGTGGGGAAGAATCAATAGGCTGATCCAGGCAGCTACAGGTTACTAAATTGATACTCTCTCATGCCAAGGTGGTCAAGATACATATGTGTGTGTGTGTGGGGGGGTAAACAGACCCAGAATGAGTTACAAGTACTAGATGGTCTTGAATCAACCCACCCTTCTATTTCCATTTAACACAATATGATAAGATGCTTGATGTTCAACAACCTGGTGCATTCTCCACAGGTCACCCACGGCAGCCCAAGAAACCGCTGATTCGGCTAAGGGTGGAGTACACGGATGAGTCGCAGATGTTTAACGCGTGTCGGTTTGGTCACAGGTTCAAAGATGACGTGGCAAATTCTACTGATATGATATTGTTTAGAAAAAAGAAACTAGAGAAAAAGGAGGAAATTGGCATTGATAAGGACGCTATGGATGCCGTGTTTAATGAAGATGTAGGTTGGACTTCATCTTGTATTTCTGATAACTTATGTGGAATACAGTAGTTAATGTTTTTCTTTGGCTGCAATTATAAGAAGAAAAGTTTATGTATATCCAGTAGCTAAATATGATGTTTGGTAGAATTATTTTCTTGTAAAATTTTTGAGGAATGACTTGGGTAAATGAAAAAAAGACAGAAGTGTAAACGATACTTTTGGGAATTATTTACTAAAGATGGAGGTGTTGAAAGTGAAGTGTTAGACAGTGGCGAAAGGAAAGTAACTTATTAGAGAGAATGGTGTTGTGATTAATATAAAACACAAGTTCTTAGACATTGGTGAGTGGTGTTATAACCTGAATGGATAATGTAAAATGAGAAATATTGAGAAAGATATGTAATAAGTGATTTTAAGTCTAGGAGTAGAAGAAACACATGCTGTAAAATCCTGTACAGTATTTACATAGTACCATTTTGCACTGGTGTTTTAAAGATGTCCTCTAGGCTTATAGTACTTGTAAATGTCAGGGTATTTTTTACAGTAAACATTATTTAGTTCAGGGTTTTTTTCAATACTTTAGGTATGGGATATGTCTTGTTTGATCCACTGTCATGGTACTGTAGATAAAACATTGATTAAATTATGCCAATGACATTCTCCCAGTCACTTACACCGCTACTTCCCGCCACACAGTTGTCGCTGGTTTAGTTGTACAGGGCGTTTACATTATACAGTATACTTTAGGACTTTTTCCTATTACAGTAAACATGATTTTGTTGGGCTGTTTTTAACATTGTGGCTGAAAACTTATCAGTATGAACACAAGTTTCTGGGTTAAAGGTTACAAAACTTTATATATATTTGTCAGTGAAAGACAAACATAGGTCTATGTTTATTTTTTATGGTTATTCATATTTTTTTTTTATTTCATTGTCATTCTAAAGGTATGCTTCTTCTATGGAATGAATTTAGTGCCCTTGTTACTTTGTGAAAGATAGATTTTACTGTAGAAACAACCAATGTTAGTAAGGCCTTAAACTTACGAGGGCTCAACAAGGTGCAGAAATTGGGTGGAGAAGCAATGCAGAAGGACTAGAGGCGAGGTGAAAAGCTTAATAGTTTAGTTATAAATTATAAACAGCAGGGTTGGGGTGGATGATTTTGGGTGCAGTACAAATTGCTCTTAAGTTGTAGTTGTGATGTGGAATTATATGTCTGTGTAATCAACAGGTGGCAGAGACTCGTGTTGAGGACCTTGTAGAGCAGTACTTTGCTGATCTTGATACTGAACACCAGCTGTCTCTCCTGACTGAGAGGGGTCTGGCACGGGCCATACGCTCATTCGTGGAAAAAGACGACAAAGATGCAATAAAAACAATTATTGAGTAAGTCTCTCAACATTTTAGTAATTTATTTAGGAAGTTCTTTTGGATAGCATTTTACTTCTTTGTTTTCTAAGTAGTACTGTATTGTCTTCACATGGTTTTGGCACATACAGTAATTGCAAGAATTTGAATTTTCCCAGTTACTTGATGCACTGAGCATAAGATACCAATGTCATAACCACTTTGTAGATTGTGAATCAACAGTCACACAGCACCATACACTTTACAGTACGAGTATTTCATTTTGTGTAAAGAAAATCAGAATGTGTTTATATGCCTACCTAGTGACAGCACTAGGATCCCGCTTTCTCTATCAAGGAATAAACAATTGAAATTGAAATTGAATGTGTTTATCGAGTCATATTAATTGAATATTTTTACAGTGGTCCCTCTGTTAATTCGTTCGAGAAGGTCGTTCGTTAACCGAAACCATTGTTTCAATGGGATTTTGGGTAATTGGTTCCAGCTCACCGAAAATTACATACAAACTAAAAATAAATGCAGTAAAGTACACTTACTTTGAGGTGTGCATGTAGAAGGCTCCTGGTTGATGATGATGGGAATTAGAGGTGGGGGTGGAGGAGGGAAAAGAGAAGACACCCCATGCTTCATGTTGCCATTTCACCCATAAAATTTTAGTTCACTTGGTGTAATTCAAGATTATTTTCTTCAAATCAACACTGCACTGCATTATATATTGTCAATATGTAAAATATACTTGAGAATGACCAATAATTGTACTGTAAAAATGTAAAAATAGTTTATGTTCAAGAGAGTCTCAAGCAAGATGCTTCCTCCACTGAGCAGGGACACACACTGACGCCATTTTGGGTGAGTCAAGTGGCTGTTTGGCGCGCTAAAATCTAGTTCCCTGTACTTCCATTATGTTAAATAATTGTTAAAATGACTAAAAAATTTAATATAATTTTTTTTTTTAATTATTGAATAGTACAACCTTCTTGATATTTACTCAAATGGTAACGAATTTAAGCCCTAGAACCGATTACTGTATTGGCGGACTAATACTACAGCTGGTGAGCAGCCGAAAGCAAGCGAAAACTTGTTGGGAAAAATTCGTAAGGAATTCGTTAATCAAAATTTTTTCGTTAACCGAAGTGAAGAATCTTATGGAAGGTAATTCGTTAACCGAGGGATCACTGTACTTTTGAATTACTGTATTTTTATTAACCCCTTTACTATGGGAAAGCCACATTTATTGTATTATTTGGCCAACACCAGATGACTTTACTTGGCTCAGAGGGTACTATATACACAAGAGGTTTATGAGTGTTTCCTTCACAGGCACCAGGTGGACAAAACACGGAAGTATATCATGTCTCTGGATAAGGAATTTATTGAGGATAAAATAGAGAGCAACATTATTAATTACCGACAGCAAAGGAAGTCCCGTCTGAACGCTCAACAAGAGGAAAATGAGGTGGGTGTGTGTTTTTCTGTGTTTGGTGTGAGTATTGGAAATATGATTTAGTGAAGTTAAAGTTTGAATGTGCATGAGTGTTTTTAAGGCTTAGAATGTTAAACCTTATTATGAAACTGTGGTAAAAGAAGACTAGAGTCGACCTTTTTCGAGCTTTATTGTTCATTTAACTGACCAAGGGTTGTATGGCATCTGGAAGAGAACAAAAAAAAATATTCTAGTGAGTGAAGGGAACAATGAACATTACTAATGTAATATAACCCCAAACAAAAACAATACCCAATGATAAGAAACAAAACATATGTACATATACACAAGGTAGAAACATGGGTTCAGGTGTAGCATAACTTTATTACAGAAACATTCTCCTTGATAGACTGACTAGATATGAACATTGAATTATGTTTCTCTTTTAATTTGATACAGGATATTATAAGGCAGAGAAATAGAGCCCACATTTAGGTGAATGTTGATTTGTTCAACTGTGATGGTGGGGGCACAAAGGTCAAGTCTGTAATTAGGGATGGCCCTCGTTGAAAATGCCAGGCCCACAAACTTCTTATATCAGGACCCTGCTGTACATATATCCACTAAAGTCCTCTCCTGCTATTCCACAAACACCAAGAATCAGACTCATGAACCCAAAGCAGTAGACAGTGATGCATTATTCTGTCCATAAATGCTTCGGGTTCACGAGTCTGAATCTCAGGGTTCGTGGTTCAGGAGGAGAGGCGCCAGGACTTTTGTGGGTGACTGTATCTGTACCAGTCCAGCTTGATTTTGTAGTGCAGGAATGTAATTTATTTCTGTATGATGACACTTAAAACATCTTTATTACAGACTCTCACTGCCCTTAACGATCCAAACCGAGTCAAGCAAAGAGTCAGCGAAGGTGATGAGGACGATGAGGTGTTAAGTGACTTTGATATGGATGAAGAACCTGCACCAAAACCTGCCAGGTATGTCTTGAGGGCATTTACATTGATATCCCCACAACTCTATCTATCTTTACTGATTGAATGTGTTAAAATTTTCTTAGCACCTGTAGAGTCATTCGTATATCCATTAGCTAGACTGTATGTGGTATTTAAACCATGATAACTCAATATAGTACTGAAACATTTGTACTTTGTGTAATTACTGTAATAGGCTTCATGAGACAAGCCACATGATACACAATAAGTTTGCCTCTTGGTGTTGATATAGTCTACATTTGAAACACTAAAAATATGTGTGTCTCATTCATCAGCACAGACTTTGTAACACAGTATGCCGATGGTTCTTCATTGGGTTAGGTTAGAAGATGTGGAGGTTGTTGCCAACTAAAACTCCAAAACTTCAGGAGATGTATTACCAGAACAACCTTGATGTACCAGCAGCAGTAATTTGGCATATGCTTACTATTTATCTCATTTTTATAACGTGGTAGTACTGTTGTGTCTTGTAGGGGCAGAGGGTCAAGAGGTCCGCGGGCAAGAGGAGCCAAACCAAGAGGCAGCCGGGGATCTAGGACTGCCTCCAGCACCTCCATGAGTACTAGTTCTGCGTCGTCTAGTAAACAATCGCTCACAATATCAGGGTAAGACAACTTTACTTCAATTTTCCAGAGTTAAATTATTCATTATTAAGGATCTCAGATAGACTTAACCATACATTATGTATCTTTAACTATATTTCAGTAATACATAGGGGTAATACTGTATTCTATCATCCCAAAGTGACATTTTTATTTGTTGGCCAAGAATTATATTTTTGAAACTTATAACAGAAGTGAAATACTAGAGTGCACTTATGTTTGTGATTATACCTGGTGATGAAATAACTATGCTCGGTGTTTGGCTTCCCTCTCACCACTGTGTCTCAGATTGATCCCTGCTCAGGTTGGGTGTAAGAAGGATGTTGTCCAGTGATGTAGTGGAGTCTGAGACCACAAATGAATGAGATATTTTGTAATTTTGGTCTTTATTGATCACCTGAAGATTAGCCCCACCACTTACCTTAACCAGCGTGAAGTTTAACCACATCAAAATTATCTGGGATAGGGGGCTAACGTTCAGGTGATCTATAAATGCAATTACAGGTTGTACCTCTCTAGTCCGGAAACTCCCGTGGTCCGGAACGATTTTAATTTGCCCATGGAGAAAATTAATTTGAGTCTGGTACTTTAGATGTTTGGCTAAATTTTGCCTTATTTACCCTACTTTTCTGGCGAATTACTACCTCTAATAAACCAACGAAAATAACACAGATAAAGTTAAATAAAAACTAAAAACAACACAGAAAAAGTTTTTATGTTCTACAGCTTCAGCTAGAGTTGAACCTGATGACTTGGCAACTTCATCATCTGAGTAAAAACACACACGACAACATTGGCTGTCCTTATGTTTTCAACTTTACCACCACTTGTGGGTAGAATTTATTTTTTAAATTCAGAAACATGAATTAAAATATATATGAACAGTAAATAAGTGTTGCTTTCATATTCTTATGTAGAATAATGATATGTTTTCACATGTGCGCACTTACAAATGCGATCTCACTTTTTTTCTTTACCATTAATGGTTAGCTATTTATATTGTTCCATTTATTAACATTAACATTACTTCAAACAACCATATTAATTTTTTTACCTTAATTTTACTACAGCTACAACCAGGGTCTTATTTTCTTCAGTTTTATATGTAGAACCAATCAGTCACTGGTTTTGTAAACATTAACGAAAACAATGCCGTCTCGTCTCGTGTGTTTTAATATTCCACGTATTATTAATGAATTGTATTGTTCATTTTGCACACATAAGCATTAATTCAATAAAAAAAATTTTGAAACATTAATTAAAACATATATGAACTGTAAATAAGTGTTGCTTTCATGTTCTTGTGTAGAGTAATGCCGATATGTTTTCACATGTGCGCACTTACATATGTGCAGTCTCACTTTTTTCTTTACCATTAATGGTTAGCTACTTTTATTGTTCCATTTATTAACATTAATTTAAAATAACCATATTAATTTTTTACATTACTTTTACTTCAGCTACAACCAAGGTCTTATTTTCTTCAGTTTTATATGTAGAACCAGTCACTGGTTTTGTAAACAACGAAAACAATGCCGTCTCGTCTCCTCGTGTGTGTTAATATTCTACGTATTATTAATGAATTGTATTGTTCATTTTGCACACATAAACATTAATTCAATCAAAAAGACATTCAGTAATAAACAATAATGAGTCTTTTGTACATAAGAGAAATGACGCTGTTTACACAATTATGCACGTCTGAACGTTGGCGGGCCGCTCAAACCCGTTGAAATTCGAGTTTCCGCCGTCGAAATTTTAAATTGTGTAGTGTTTTTTGTGTCCAAATAAAAAACGTTGAATTAAAAACTTGCGAAATTTGAGAACCTACTGTACAACATTTAACCCTTCAATATGTTTTCAAAGAGACCACGAAGCAGTGAAAGTGGTGCTAGTGCTTCCAAGCATTAGCACAAGTCACTATCTATCCAGGAAAGGGGTGAATTTCCATGGTCCGGCACCGGTCAGGTCCTGAGGTTGCCGGACTAGAGAGGTACAACCTGTACTACGAATACTGTAGTCTCGTTCATACTTTCGAATTCATCACTGGCGTTATCAAATGTGACACTACTGACCAATGCAAGTTTTTACGGGAACAGTACAATACAGTACTTCAGTTTTTTTCCCCGACTAGAGCAGGCCCCATGGAGGAAGACCTTAATTGAACTTTGTAGAGAAGCCATGTACAGTACTGGTAAACCTGGAAAATAATATATTGTCTGCTGTTAGTATGGAGGAAGAGGATAAATTTTCATCAGTTTTGCGCATTTTAACTGGACACAATAGTTCACCAGCTAGTGTTAAACCAATGTTATAGAGGATTACATGTCTTTACCCTCACAATATTATAAAAAGTAGTAGTAGCTGTTTATTTGCAAAGGAGGCAGTATACTGTATTTATGAATCTGTGAATGATATTTGAAGTTTAAACTTACCTTGGAATTAATAAAATAATAGTTGTGACAGGACCGCCCCTCTATTCATTAGAGATAGTTTTTAAAAGGTCTGGAAAATCCATTATAACTCCAGACGGTTTGTGTTCGTGCGTGTCTCTCACTGTCTCGGACTCAATCTGAGTACAGGGTACAGTACTGTACTGCCTTTATATGTATAGTATCAATGTGCCGCACCTCACTGCCTACACTCATTTACGTGAACTTTGAGTACTGTACTATATGTAGTATCTTTAAGAGGATACAAGAAGCTTCTAAGAAATGGGTTAAGATTGTGTAAGTACAGTACTGTACATATTTTAAGAAATGGGTAAAATTAAAAGAAAAAGAACAACACTTGCTCACCGAATACTGTACAGTGGATAATAATCAGATTTGCTATAGGCCTAACAAGAGTGAAGAGACTGCATCTGTAAGCAGGCTGGGGGTTGGAGGGAGGTTGATCGGGTATTGCCACATTCACCAGGTTTATTTAATGATTCAATATTATATCCTTGTATGGTTCATCATGGTTAATATAACATCTTCAGTGGTGGATAAAAAAATATTACGTGTAATTTGTAGTTTAACATGAAAATAAAAGGATAAGCTGAATCGGAAGGTATTCATTCAGGATGCATTCGTGTGAGAGCTTTCAGCAAATCAGTTTATGACAAGGTCACTATAACACACTGTATAGTATTTGATATGAAGATACCTTCCTAACAATGCTATTTACTACCTTTGAGTGTTATATGATGACTCAGTTTGGCTACTTGTTTACTTAGACAAATTATTAATGAATAAACCAGGGTATATGCAGATGCATAATACTATACACTACAATATTACTTATTAAGTGCTGATAAATACACTACAATATTATTAAGTGATAATAGTTAGACTACAGTACTGTACTAATTTATTAAGTACTGAAGACATGTGGTAAGCATGAGTGGTGAAGGAGCTACTGTAAGCCGATCAGCTGTTTGTTCTTTGTAAACAAACGACTCATGATGTTGAGTGTGGGATTCTTTTTTTTTTCAGGAAAGTTGATTATTTTGTGATAGTATTTTATCAACCCAACACTAAATGAACCTAAAAATATCAGAATTACAGTTTAATTTCATAAAGACAAGTTAAAGGGATCTTGGGAGGGATCCACCCACCTGTGCTACCCCCCTCCAACCTGCTGCTCCCAGATCACTCTCCTCTCCCATACACAATATACCCCTACCTTGTTATTTACATCTTTAAAGTGCTATACAGTATACAGTTTACTTTATATTCATAAGACAAATCATCTCGGTGAAAACATTTGTCGACAACCAAACTTCTGTCTGATTTTCCACCCAGAGCACTCTGTTAAATAATTAATTGTTTAATGGTGTTTTAATAACCTTGATATGCACTTAAAGACCTTAATTGTTGAAGTGCAGTAATAAACAACAACAACTGAATTTTTTTAAACAGTCCCAGATAAGAAGTGTTATCTCCACACCACTTCCCCCTATCGATTCACTTATTTCAGACTGGGGTCTGCCCCATTTAGTCTGATTTATCGAGGTTCTACTGTAGTTATATTAGAGAATCTGTGAGATGGGTAATGAATGATCATTTATTTTACAGCTATGGATCTCCAAAGGTTTCTACTACTGCCAGCAGAGCCCGGAGAGGACAAGGCAGAGGAGCAGTTTTGGTGAGTCAGTTTATCTTATGAATGTGACTCAGTTTGACAGACGGG